TCTGGCCAGTGCTGAATGCCATTCCTTTGCCCCACCCCATCCACTCGCCAGTCAGGGCTGGAGCCCTGGGGGGGCAGGCCTTCCACAGGTAGCCTCTTTCCAGAAGACATCTGTGCCCAACCAGCCCTGCTCTCCACAGCAGTCCTGCAAATTTCAGAGGTGGGTGGAGTCAGGGAGGGTGATGCCCCGGCTTCTGGTTGTTCCCAAGCTGGAGAGGGCATGGGAGCTGATGCCAAGAGGTGGGCCGTGGGCCCATGAATTGTTCAGAGATGCCGACACCCAGTCTGAGTAAGGAGCAGGCTGTGAATGACTGACCTGCGGGGAGCCGCCACAGGGGCCTTCCTGCCCAGGAAGGGGGGTGCCAGTGGGGAGGGGGGCTGGTCAGGCTGGTCAGTCAGGCTTGGGGGGGCCACATACTTCTCAGCTCTTGTCCTCATGGAAATGGCAGTGGCTGTCGGGTGTGAGTGCAAGGAGGAGGGGCCACCCCAGGGAGCTAGGCCTGGGCGGGGAGGTGGGGGGGATGCTGCCATGAAGCCTGGGTTCTGGAGGGCCAGGGACACTGGCTCGCTCACTCATCCACTTTGCAAACACGCCTGGCACCAGCAGCGAGGAGAGCGGGTGATGGAGGCCGCCAGGCAGAGGAAAGGGGGGTGCGGGGCAGACCTGGGTTGTCCAGCACAGAGCTTCAAAGACACAAGGTGGGGGGGCTGGGGGCTGAAGCTGGCTGCTCAGACTGGGTCTGATCATCTGGACTTGGAGATCTGTCCATGTGCCAGGCTTGAGGCTCAGCTGGGGCTGGAGGATCAGGGAAGGGCCTAGGGGGATATGGAGCCCCAGGGAGGAGGCCCAAGGGTCCTCCAGGTCCCCCCACCCCGGGGATTAGGACTAGGTTCTGCATGGCTCCAGGGTGGAGGCAGGGAGGGGTGGGAGTGGTCAGGCAGGCCCCTGTTGGGAGGAGAAGTTTGGGGCTCTGCGGGGGCCCCCCTGAGTGCTGCCAGATCTCTACCTCCCAGGTCCTCCAGGAGGATGTTTTGGGGCCAGAAGGCTGGAGGTCAGGGGCCCTGAACCCTGAGCTGGGGGTACAGAGAAGGGATGCTGAGGCAGGGGTCCTGGGGAGGGGGGAGAATGCGGATGGCCCTGTCAGCCCTCGGGCACAGCAGAGGCACAGAGGGCACTCCCGGGCGCTCCATCTCTTCCTCCTTCCCTCCTCCCACCCCTACGGTCCCCAGGACCGGAGAGCTTGGGGAGGCGCCTGCAGCACAGTCCTGAGGGTCCTCTCCCGAGTGTTGCCTGCTCCTGCCCCTTCCAGCAGTTTTTCTCGCGCTGTTCTTGGAAGTGGCGGGCACTCTGCCCTCCATCCGCTGAGCTGTCAACACCACCAACAGTGTTGGGCGGGCCGGAGGCGGCGGGGCCGGGACCGGGCCTGGGCCAGGTGGCAGCGCGCGCCCGGAATCTGGCTCCGATCCCGCCGCGCGGCCGTTGCTACAGAAACCGAGAAACAAAGGGAAGCCGGCAGGCGGCGCGACAGGGTGGGGGTGGGGTCCCCTGGGGGACCTGGGCGCCGGGGCCTGGCGTGGCAGACCCGTCCGCCGTCGGGGCATCCGCCTGCGTGTCCAGGGGCCGCCCTTCTGGGCCGAGGCCCCGACGGCCAGCGTTGCCCCCGAGCCGAGGGGGCCGCGGACGCCCCGCCCCG